AAGCCAGGCCAAGGGCGGACTGTGGAACAGACTTCAATTAGTCATATGCAAGTTTAAATTGAAACTCAAGAAAATGACAACAAGTCCACAAAAACCAAACTGAACTCAGACTTTAGCTTTCTGAATTTAAAACTCATTTCAAGAACAGGTTTGAGGCATTGAACACCAATGATCAACGACCAGAGAAGCTATGGGATGATATAAAAAATATAATTTATCAAGAAAACAAAAGTTCACTACAAATACAAAGAGGGGAAAAAATAAAAATGGATGTTAGAAGAGAGTATAAAAATTGCATGACAGCATCAATAAGCCAAAAGAAAGAGAAGAGATGCTGAAGTAAAAGGACTGAATAGATTTTAAAGGGAAGCTTGAGAAGTCAAAGCAAAATATTATAATGAAATATGCAGAGAGCTGGGGTCAAGATACAAAAGGGAAAGAACTCACTCTAATTCTTAAGCTAAAAGAATGGAAAAAGAAATTCGTGTGTCAAGTTACATTACGAGAGATACTATGGACAAAATTTTAAGTGGTCCAGGAAGCATCAAAAGAAAATGCAAGGAATACAAAGAGTCACTAAACCAAAAAGAATCCTTTGACACTGAAAAATAATAGGAAGTACCAAGTGAAAAAGAGTCCATAATAAAGGAATATGTTCAAGCCATGTTAAAGGCATTGACCAAAAAAATAAGGCCCCAGGAATTGATGGGATACTAATTGACATGTTTTAACTAATAGATGCAACCATGGATGTGTTCATCAGTCTATTCTAGTAAATTTGGGGGACAACTGTTTGCCTGACTCACTGGAAGAAATCCATATTTTTTCCCATCCCCATGAAAGGCAATCCAACAGAATGTGGAAATTATCAAACAATATCATTAGTATGAAATTCAAGCAAAATATTGTTGAAGATCATTAAAAAAAAAATGGCTAGAACATTATGTTGGAAAGGAACTACCAGAAGTTTGAGTTTAGAAGAGTCCATGGCACAAAGGTTATCATTGCTGATATCAAATGGAACTTGAATGAAAGCCGAGAATACTAGAAGAATGTCTATCTTTGTTTTTATTCACTATATAATTGCATTTGACTGTGAGGATCTTAACAAACTATGGCTAAAATTGAGACAAATAGGAATCCTGGAACTCTTAATTATGCTCATGGCAAATCTATACCTAGACCAAGAAGCTTCTCTCTGAACAGAGCAAGGGAAAACGGCATGGCTTAAAATCAAGCAGGGTGAGTGTTAGTGATGTATCTTTGAGCACATAATTCATAAGGCTAAACACTATGGAGAGGAAAGTTACATCAAGATTGAAAGAAGACTCATCAACAACTTACATTATGTAGATGACAATTCACTTGCTGAAAGCAAGGAGAACTTGAAATGCTTGCTGCAGAACGTGAAGGACTGTAGCCTTCAGTAAGGATTGCATCTTAACATCAAGAAGACAAAAATCCTTATCACTGGGCCAAGAGGCAACATCATGACAGGTGATGAAAGGATTGAAGATGTCAATGGTTATACTTGCTTGGAACAACAATCAACACCCTTGGACCAGCAGTCAGGAGGAGATTATAAAAGAGAAATTAAATTTAAAAATGTAGTCAGTGATTTTTAAATTTATATAGATGTTTATAAGAGGGAGTTCTGAAGGTTTAGCTGGTAGAGAGTTGTGATACTAGGCTATGGTTCTTTGGCAATAGCATTAGTACCACTGAAGGCTACATTCCTTGTTCTTCTGCAGTAAGTGCTTCAAGCCCTCCTTAATTTCAGCAAGCAAGGTTGTACCATCTACATAATACAGGTTATTGATGAGTTTCCCTCCAATCCTGATGCCACACTCATCCTCATAGAGTCCAGCCCATTGAATAATTTGCTCAGCATACAGACTGAACGGGTATGGGGAGAGAATACAGTCACTTCCTGTAATGATTTACAGTTATAGATAAAGAAATCACTTCTCCTAATGATTTACAGTTTCAGCTTACACTTGATTGCTAACACAATCAGAAATGCCCAAACACTTTACATACAACTTTCAAGTAAATAAAACACACATACCCTCCAGGATCCACCTGAGCCAAGCTGGAGGCTCATCCTCGTCTTTTAAATACAAAGGCCCACCCACCAGATCCTGTTTGCCTACACAAGAGGCTTCCCAAACACAGCAGATTGTAAATGAAATAAAAAATAGTTATTAAGCCTACACTTGATTGCTAACACAATTAGATATCACATGTAAGCAAAATACTGCTGAAGGTCATTCAAAAACTTCTAGAACAGTACTTAAAGAACTGCCAGAAGTTCAAACAGGATTTAGAAGAGGCTCCAGGCATATCAGTGCTGATGTCAGGTGGGTCCTGGCTGAAAGTAAGGAATATTGAAAGAAGGTCTATTTGTGCTTTATTTACTATGCAAAGGTGTTTAATCATATGGATCATGACAAGTTCTGCTTAGCATGGAGAAGAATGAGACTTCCAGAGAGTTTGATTGTGCTCAGGTGGAATCTATACCTGAACCAGGAAGCTACTGTGTGAAGAGAGTAAGGTTTGGAATTGGGAAAGGAGAGTGCTAGGGTTGTATTCTCTCTCAATACCCATTCAGTCTGTATGCTGAGTAAATTATTCAATGGCCTGGACTCTGTGAGGATGAGTGTGGTATCAGGATTGGAAGGAAACTCATCAATAACCTGCATTATGTAGATGGCACAACCGTGCTTGCTGAAAGTAAGGAGGGCTTGAAGCACTTACTGCAGAAGACTAAGGAATGTAGCCTTCAGCGTGGACTTAGATGCAATGTCAGAAAAACAAAGATTCTTACCACTGGATCAATAGGCAGCAACATGATGGATGGAGAGGAGATTGAAACTGTCAAAAGTTTCTTCTTGCTTGTATCCACAACTAACACTTTTGGTACAAGCAATCAGGAAATAAGGGAGACACATTGCACTGGAGATATCTGCATTTAGGGACTTTTCCAAATTATTGAGGAGTAGTGATGTCAGTTTGAAGACTAAGTTGTGTCTGATTCAGGCTATAGTCTTTCCTATTACTAGCTATGCATCTGAGAGCTGGACAATGAATAAGGACTACAGAAAAATCATTGATGCCTTTGAGCTGTGGTGTTGGAGCAGAGCACTGAACACTCAATGGACAGCCAAGAGAATGAACAGATATGTTTTGGAGATGGTGTAGCTGGAGTGCTCTTTGAAGTCAAGAATAATGAGGCTTCACCTCACATACTTTGGACATGTTGCTAGGAGGTGCTATTCCTTCGAGAGGATCATGATGTTGGGAAGGGTTCAGGGTCCACAAAGGAGAGGAAGACCCTCAACCTGGTGATACAGTGACTACTGCAATGGGCTCTTGTCTGTCAGGAAGTGTGAAGGTGGCACAGGATAGAGTAGGGTTCAGATCTTTTGTTCATAGGATCCCTATGAGTAGTGCTCGACTTGACAGCACCTAACAATGACAATAACAATGATTTACAGCCTTGAAAACATGAGTGTCATGAAGTAGAATTGATTCAAAGGTGGGGGTGTTGTGTAACGTCCAATCAGAATAGACACATAGTTGACCTTCCAGTGGGTTTTCAGAGGCAGTAAATCACACTGGAGAGGATCACTCATCTTTCTCCAGATGAGAATCTGGTGATTCCAACCACATGACTTCGAGTTGGCAGCACACTCCCTAACCACTAAGCCGTCAGAGATCTGGTCCTAGAACCCAGTAATTGGACTTTCCCTCGAGACATGCTTTAGGCACTTACATTAATCTTTTCTTCTTCACTGCTTTCCAGCATCAGCAGCCACATAGGCAAAATAAGTCTTCCTGACATCCTTTTGAAGGTCATCCACACAAATCTTGCCCATTATTAGTGTCCAACCTTCCTAAGCTTGCACTGGAAGCAGTACAGAAACTTGTCTCATCCTACTATGACTTCTTGCCATCTCTTTCCACAGAAACACACTTTACTATAAAATTAATCTTGCCTTTCCCCCCTTACATATGTTTTCAATGGCTCCACAAAATGCTTTCAGTTGTACCCAAATTGTGTTAGAACCTAGCACTGACTCATCTTTCTCATCTTATTTTCCACTAATTCTGAAGCGAAATTTCTGAAAAAATAATACACTCTACTTTTACACATTGGATTTTTAACAATTTCTCTTGTCAGAAGTGCATTTCCTTTTGTGTTTCTAGTTATCTGAGTCCTACCTATCCTTCAGGGCCCTCCTCCTCCAGGAAGCCTTGCTAGCCCAACCAAGTATGGAGTGAGATTGTCTTTGAAAGCCCTTTCCAGCTATTACTTCTAAGACGTCTTATCTCAGTTAAGTTTTCATGTATATCTATATCTCACTTAAGCAAGGACTGTTACATTTGCCATCTAAGGATCCTTTATACCATTTAAGAATTCTCTAGCTTGTTGCCGTGTACACAGTTGTTATCAGAGGTTGTCAAGCCAATTTCCCATTCTTAGTGACCCCATAGGACAGAGTTGAACTGGTTGGTAGGATTTTCTAGTTTGTCATCATTACAGGAGTAGGTCATCAAGTCTTTCTCTGGTGAAGCTGCTGTTGTTGCTATGTACTGAGTCGTACTGAATTGGAATTGATCCATAACTGATCATCTAGTGGGTTTTCAGAGGTAGTAAATTGTATGGGAAGAAGTTGCCCATCTTTCTCCTACAGAGCACCTGGTGAATTTGAACAAGGCACCTCTGGGTTGGCAGTGCAATTCCTTACCACTAAGCCACCAGAGCATAATGAAGCTGCTTAAATCTTTAGGTCCTCAGTAGAACACTTAATCCTTCCACCACCAGGGTTCCATTTGCACAAAGACTCACTAAGGGCTAATTTAATTATTCTATATGAAGCCATAAGAATTGCAAGTGGTCATGGATTTCTTGTGCTCCCAGTGGAGGGCAGTATATATTTATTTTATTTTATTTCAGTGATACTAATAATAGCTTTCTCCTTGTATCTTTTGAACAGTTGATTACCAAAGCACCCATTACACAGTAGCTGGATTTAGTGTATTGTTAATGCTAGTTGGTATCTTGGCAATGCTGCTGAAAATATTCTGGATTGACTTTATTCTGCTGTGGAGAGATGTGATTGGACCTTACAAAACTGGGAATGGTAAGTGGCAGATCTCAATATTTTCTCAAAAAGGAAAAAAAAAATCTCACAGTGACTCTTGGTTATTTGTTTATAAATCTCTTAATATTTTGTGCTGCTACACCGGATTTCATTTTGCTTGATAATATCATCCGTAAGTCTCTTTAGAGCCATTTACATTCTGCTTCAAAGCTATCCTTGATTCTGGCGTTGCTCTCAGGATAAATCTCCCCAATAACTGTTCCTAATAAATTCCCAGTGGCAGAATCTGCCCAACCTCAGAAAGCAGAATTATTTTGAAAAGTGCATTTTGGTGACACTTTAATGGAAATCTTGAACAAAAATCATTCTTGCAGTCCAAGAGTGAGCAGGCTAGGCCAGTGTACCCAAATAAAGGTGTGTTTACCAGAAATTCTATACAAATTCTTACTCTACTCATATAAGTTACCTGTGTGTGTGTATTTTAAGATTAGTCTACCATGTCATTATGATCTATATTCTTTTATCTGGAGGGAGATACATATTTTTCCATTTTGTTGCTAATTCCTTGGTTTGTGAGTCTAGACTCCCTACATTTTTTGCTCACATTTCATGGTTGCATTCAGTGAGCACTAATTTTGTTGTCGAGTTGGACTGACTCACAGCTGACCCTCCAGTGGAATTCTAGAGTCTGCAAGTCGTGTGCCCATCTTTCTCCCACAGGGCTGCTGGTGGATTCTGCTTGCCTTTGGGTTGACAGCATCATCCCCTACCACTAGATCATGAGAGCCTTTAGCATTTTTATCTTCCTAGGGGAGGTTGAATAGTCCCTGGTGGTAGAGCCCTTGTGGAAGAACTGCAGGTGCTGTGGTGTGTAAAGTGCTGGACTGCTAACAGAAATGTTGGTGGTCTGAACCCATCAGTAGTTCCCTGGGAGAAGGGTGGGCACTTAGCTACAGAAAAGATTCACAGCCCGAGAATCCCAACAGAAGGCTGTCATAAGTCTGAGTCAACTCAACAGCAGTGAATTTGGGAGAATTTAGGAAAAGAGAGAGAAACAGATTTAGTCAGCAACAGAAGACACCTTCCTCAGGAATAGAAATAATTATTACACAATTATTAGTCACATCTTTTCATGTGGTTTGTATTCAACTATATAGCGTTCTCCCTATTTTTGATCCTGGAATTTTAATTAACTCGAAGCAATGGAAGAATTAAAATTGTGATGCTCTTATCACAATTTTTGGCAGGAATTTGTCATATCTTGATTCTAGAAAAATTGTGGGATCAGGTCTACTCACCAACAACCACAAAACTTAGTGTGTGATGTTCGCTAGGAGGCAAACAAGTATTTCTTAGACATAGCAATGAAGTTTGATTCATTTTTCCTTTTCAGATGGAAAGATCTATGATGCTTATGTTATTTATCCACGGAACTACAAAAAGAGTCCTGAAGGGACCAGTTCTGTGGAGTACTTTGTTCACCAGATTCTGCCTGATGTTCTTGAAAACAAATGTGGATATAACTTGTGCATTTATGGGCGAGACATGGTACCCGGAGAAGGTAAAACTAGCACTGTACACTAGAGACAAACTGCAGGCTTATCATAAGAGATAAGTGGTCTTATGGAGGTGAATAAGAAACTGCATTTTTAGTGTTTCAGACCTAAATATTTCTGCAGAAGAAGGAAGCACTTTTTCTTCGCTCCTCTCATTCCCATCTACACTCGAAGCTGGTGATCTTCATCGCTGCATCTATGTGGTGAAGATGGAGTTAGATGTCCTTCGCTGACTGGATTTAGCAAGGTGTTACCCCTCCTATACAACCTTTGTGCCCAGCTGCAATAGCTGCTTTTTCTTCCTTCTTTCTAGAAGATAGAAAGGATATAAAAGTTAGTGAATTTTCTTATGTTCATACACTTTGGATAAAATATTTGTAAAGACTCTCAGAGTCTTTAGAAGTTTTTCTATATTGATAGAAACTGCATAAATTTATACTCTCACAAGAACAAGTAGAATTGTGATTTCTGTTTCTTAACATTTCCAGCCAGTTTTAGGTACATTTAATAATTTTTTTAAATCACAATTCTAATAATTTTAGTGGTGGGTAACTCTGCTTGCCTAGCAGTAAGAAGATTTGCAGAAATTCCAAAGGCACACAGTTCATATACATCAGCTGCTCTGCAGGAGAAGGAGCATAGTCTCCTCATGTGCAATTTACTGCCTCTGAAAACCCACTAGAGGGTCAACTATGGATCAGTTCAAATTTAACGGTGCACAAATAACAACACAATCATTTCAGCAGCAATTTTTTTCCTTCTTCCACATTCATGTGTGAGGAACCTTCATTTGACTCTTCTCCAAATTTTCAGAGAGGGGAAAGAATTTGGAGTCTCATAGGGTAAGGATATCATGATCATAAATTCAGTGGAATAAATTTAAAGGAAACTGTAATATTAAGATGGCATCTTTGCAGAAAGGAGGTAGCCAAGAACCTACAGATTTAAAGCTGCACATAATGTGAATATATTTAATCCTGGGATGTTTGGGTAACGTTGGTTGCCTAGTATGTATGTTGAGTGGTGAAAATGGTGAAGCATTCAAATACTTATCCAAACACTGTTGATTTGAACCCTCTCAGGAGCACCTTAAGAAAAGGTTATGTTAATAGGTTTTCAAAGGGACAGCTGGAATCACTTTACTTGTATTAAATCACCATGCATTAAAACTGACTTGACACCAAACAACTGGATTTTTTCAGTCCATTCTCAACAACTTAGGTAACAACTTAAGCTCTCAGTACAAATTAAACTCTCAGGTGCTAATAGAAACATTGCTGTTTTAAAAACCAACCAATCACCCTTTTATGGAATAAGCCAAAATCAAACCAATTCATTACCATTAAGTTAATTCCGACTCATAGTGACCTTCCATTGGGTTTCTGAAGCTGTAAATCTTTGCAGGAGAAGGCTTCCCATTTTATTCCACAAAGCAGCTACAGACTTCAAATTGCCAACTTCAAGATTAGGAACCTGATCAATTTAGTGATGTACTCCCATAAAATTATTATCTGGAAAGCCCCATGAGGTAGTTCTACTCTGTAGTAGAGAGTCAGTAAGAGTCAGAATACAATTAATGATACTAAACCGCAATGGTAATGGCTTTGAGAGAGTTTTTATAAAACATAACATTCAGAACAATATAATTCCATTTTTTTCTGAGGTGTTATTTCCCCTTTGACTGGAGAAAAATGACCAATAGTACTCAAATTGTCCTTGATTTTTTAAAAAAGTGTGTGTGTGTGTGTGTGTGTGTGTGTGTGTGTGTGTTTACTGTTGAATCGGATCCGACTGGTACAAGAAGAAATTGCCCTCCACCAAGTGCCTTTGGGATTGTCGTACAGCTTCTTGTCACTAGGTCACCAGAGCTCCTTGTCCTTGATTTTTTAATATTCTAGGAAATTTCGACTTGACGGCAGGCACATAACAACAACAACAACAGGAAATTTCTCCTCTAGAATCTGCAAAGACCATAACTCCTTGAGATATCAACCGTTGTGCTACTTTGGGTAGCAATCTTTCCATCTATTCTTCCTCAGGCCCATCAATCTTATGTCTAGACACACCTGTCCCAAACCCAACTTACAGCTACTCCCTCAAGCTTATGCCATCTTTTTTTTTTTCGTCTTTTATATTTTATATGCACTGCTTGTATATTGTAACTGTTTCTCACTTTCTTCTTTTGATCTTGCCCCCACCCCTCAAAATGTAAAGAAAATAAACCAACAGGTATCTTCACTTTCCCCTTAGGGAAAATCTGTAATTGACAAATACAGTGTTTTCCCTTGTTAGTTGTCTTCCTCTTGTCCTCGATCTACTCTGTGCTCTCTCTCCATTCAGCGGCCCTATTGTTGTTGCTATATGCTGTGGAGTCAGAACCAAATTAAAATTGTCCCTCTAGCAAGTTTCAGAGGCCGGTCTCATGACTAATGATACCAAGTGGATCCAGTGTTCCTGCTGTTGGATACTCATACCCAGAACTGACCCTCCGGTGGGTTTTCAGAGGCAATGGATTGCACAGGAGGAGAGTGTCCATTTTTCTCCCAAGGCGCAACTGGTGAATTTGAACTGTGTGCCTTCAGAATTGCAGCACAGCCTCTTATAGCACTAGGCCACCAGAGCCCTAGGCAGTGATAATTTTGAAATCTATGAGCAGATGCCCTCGTTCTGTTTCAGATTGAGTTTTGTCGGGAGAGTAGCGTATAAGATTGCTGCCGCCATGACCCAGAGTAGTAACCACTATATGATCCCGGCGAGCTCCTAGGACCTAAAATCTAGCCCCCTAGCCATGTTATAGTAGAGGGGAAGGTATAGGTCTCTTCTGTCTCTTCTGTGTCCAACGGCTAGGGCCACTCCTGCCAGCTGATCCTCGTCTGACATCTCCACAATTAGGTACCAACTTCCTGCGCCGTTAGCTGTGGGCCACCTTTTCTTGATTTCTCCTTTACAACCTATACCTATTTCTGGATTATTGCTGGTTACTTCACTTCAAATCCGCATTTTTATATGAATTATCCTTTCCTTAAACCCTCGTTTGTCAGTTCCTTTGAGTATATGAAATTTGCTTACAATCCTGATGCAAAGTGTATATTTGTCATTAATTAACAAGTATTCCTTTATTTCATAGTATATAACATTTCAATAACCGTTATATAAAAATAAAAACAAGGGAGCTCTGGTGACATAATACATAGGGAATTGCACTGCTCACCTAGGACTCTTGCCTCCCTGGCAGTTCAAATCCTTTTTTTTTTTTTTTTTTTGGCAGAAAGGTGGACAATCTCCTCCTGTGTGATTTACAGCCCTCAAAATCCCATTGGAAAATCAGCTATGAGTTAGTTCTGACACAGAGCATTGAGTTTGGGTTAGAGAATAAGAATATCTTGAATTGTTTTATTTTGGGTTTGTTCCTTTAACCAGGTTCTAACTTTTTTGCACTAAGAATTGGATATTTTTGTTCTCTTTATACCCTCAGCCAGCAACAAACACTGAATCATGACTATTGCTTCATGAACACTGACTTGAAAAGGTGATTCAGCCTTGAGATTTTTCTCCCTCTGACAACACATTGCCATAGAATTCGTGCCAATTCATAGCTAAAACTCCACTGGGTTTCCAAGACTGTAACTCTAGTCTAGATCAAATCACCTCTTAAAATAGAGTACACTACGGGGTGACGTGGATCTAGAACTTTCCCCAAAGACTTTGGTCAACTTATTGTTGTTTTGTACCATCAAATCAGAATCAACCCACAGTTGATCCTCCAGTGAGGTTGTAGAGGCAATATATTACAAGGGAGGAGACTCCTCATCTTTTTCCTGCAGAGCCTCTGTGGGTTTGAACTATGTGCCTTCTGGATTGCAGCACAACTTCTTACCATTAGGCCACCCAAGCGGGTTTTCTGTTTGCGCTATAGTGGTGTAGCCCATAGCGAATTGTATCAGACCAGAGGTTGTGCATCCTTGGTGGCTGAAGAACACTAATAAAAAAATCTCCATCTGTGCTGCTTCCAGTCTTGGAAACTCAAATAGAAGTCAGCTGTGAGCTGATTCCAAGTCAGTGATGAGTGAGTGAGTTACAAAAGAGCTAAAATTCTGAGCCCCTTTAAAATCATGTTAGCTAATCTAAGCAGATCATAAGTAACTGTTGTTGCTGTTATTAGGTGCTTTTGAGTCACGTATGACCCATAGTGACACTATGAACAATGGATCTGAATCCTTTCCTGTCCTACGCCAACCTCATTATCTTTGATACATTGAACCCATTGCTGCAGTCACCATGTAGATCCATCTCGATGGATCTTCCTATCTTTCTGTGACCCTTCACCCTTTCAAGTGTGGTATCTTTTTCTAACTTGTAGCCTCTCCTAGCAAAACGCCCAAAGTATGACAGATGAAGCTTTGCCATCCTTGTGACCTGAATTCTAAGTCTAGCACAAAATGACAAGATCATATCCATAATCTCCTTTTCATTTGAAGGATTCCTTGCCTTAGTTATGACTGGATCTATGGGGGAAATAAGGCATCCATGCTGACAGTATCACTCTGAAAGGTTTAAAATAATTGAATGTATTTTTTTAAAAATTCAAGCACTTTTCCACTTTTATGAATAAACAAATTGAGCAGCAGATTATAAGAATTTTTTTAAAAAATTAGAGTATTTATGACCAAAATATTACGTCTTTAAAAGAACCTACAAAAAATCTGATTTGTGTCTTTTATCACTAGACGCAGCCACTGCAGTGGAGACCAACATACAGAAGAGCAGGCGGCACATTTTCATCCTGACTCCTCAGATAGTGCACAGCCAGGAGTTTGCCTATGAGCAGGAGGTCGCCTTGCACTGCGCTCTCATTCAGAACAACTCAAAGGTGATTCTTATTGAGATGCAGGCTCTGTGCGAACAAGATGGTCTGCAGTGTGAGGAGTTTCAAGAGTCTCTCAAGCATCTTATGAGGGTGCAGGGTACCATCAAGTGGAAGGAAGACCACATGATGGACAAATGGTCACTGAAATCCAAATTCTGGAAGCATGTGCGGTACCAGATGCCTGTGCCCAACAAACTTCCTAAAAAGACTTTAAACTTGGTTTCCTTGAATATCCAAGGACAATAATGCTTGTGTTGCTGTGATAAAGGGTCTGATTTTTGGAACTCTCCAAGCTGAGTTGATCCAGACTCAATGGTACACAACAACGACGACCTTACTTCTACGTAGAGCACTATGGCCAACACTGGGAGCTGAGATGTCAAGGCATAGGGCTGTGAAGGGTGTTCAAGCCTCAGGGATGATTTAGGAAGTACACATCATGTTCTTGACTCTGGGCTGATGCCTAATGTCCTCAACTTTCATCTGCAACCCGTCTTCCCCTTGCCTCTCAATGTTTTCCTTCCTCACCTTGTTCCTTTTTCCCCCCTCCAAATAAACGATCTTCCCACTGTCCTCTCTTTGCTTTTCTCAGTCTCCCCCTCATTCTCCCTGTTTTCCTGATCCCTCTTCAATAATATACAATATGAACATCAAACTAAAAGGTGTATAGTTATATTTTCATATGATCTTATGATCATACTGAGTCCTCCAATTGGAATGTTGGTGGTAAATCTTATTCTCAATGAGGCAGAATTCTTTTGTACGTTTTATAAAATATGATTCTCAATTGCATCATCGCACAATTTCTTTTTCAGTTTTCAATTTTGTAAAAATATATCAATTTTCATTTTAATCACATCCCCTCAGATTGGAGATTTCTTTTTCATATTTTTATTTAGAAAGAATTTTTACATTTTGAAAAGAGTAGTAGCAAATTATAAAAAGATGAAGTATAAAATAAAAATATATTTTTTTAAATAAAAATATTTTTAAACATTTTGGTAAATTTCCTTCTGATTCCACTTTTAAATTTAAATTCATAATTACACATACTATTTATGTAGTCAAATTGTACAGTACATATATCCTTTGTGGTGCAAGTAGGAAAGTATTTGACTATAAGTCAAAAGGTTGAAGTTTCTAATTAACCCAGAGTTATTTGAAGAAAGGCTTGGCAATCCTCTTCTGAAAGACTCTGATCATTGAAATACTATGGGCCACAGTGTACTCTGTACACAGGATATTAAAGAATCTACTCAAGGATTGGAATCAACAGCAATAAACACAGTATGTAGTTTTGTATATAAAGCATTTTTAATGTCACTAAAATATTTTTGTTATTGTTGTTGATTGCTGTCAAGTCAAGCACAACTCATAGTGACCCTATGAACTAAAGGCCTGAAACTTTTCTAAAGCTCTCAACATTTATCAAAGTTATAGAGTTTCCAGAGGCATGTTGTTGAGGAAGTAGATGCCACTTCTGCTTCCAACTGGCATAGGAGACTCATCTATTTGCTATTATTACTACTTCATCATAGAAAGTCCTACTCCATCTGGGTTGCTCTCCTTGATGATTTCTAAGCACTCAATGCCCTCATCACAGAGGCCTTGCTGGTGGTACTCCTTCCCATGGTATATCACCCCTTACTACTACTATTCAAAAAACTAAACTCATTACCAAAGAGCCAATTCCAACTCTGATATCAACTATTTTTAGCACTTTAAAATTATCATAATGTTTAGGGAGCTCTCGTGGCCTAGTGACAAGAAGCTGCACTGCAATCCGAGAGGTGTGAGGTTTGAATCCACAACATGCTCTACTGGAAAAGAAGGGGCAATCTCCTCCTGTACTAGTTAGATCCAATTTGACAGTACACATAAAAAAAATCATAAAATAAAATAAATTATCATAATGTTCAATCTCATTATTGAGAAGATATATTGTTAAATATCTATCATTATAAATAAGTCTGTAAAGACCATATCAGTATATTTTACATCTCCCAAATAAGAAGCTATTGAGTTGTGGTGCATTGATAGAGGACTACCAGAAGCTCAAGTGGGGTTTAGACCAGACTGTGGAACCAGAGATATGATTGTTAATATCAGATGGATTCTAGATGAAAGCAGAGACTATCAGGAGAAAGTCTAATTGTGCATTATTGACTATATAAAGACATTTGATTGTATGGATTATAACAAACTATGGCTAACTTTGAGAAGAATGGAAATCCCAGAATATTTAATTTGCTCATGTGAAACCTAGACCAGGAAACTGTTGTCTGGACAGAACAAGGGAACATTGCATAGTTTAAAATCAGGAAAGATGTACATCATGGTTGTATCGTTTCTCTCTATCTATTCAATCTGTACACTGAACAAATAATTTGTGAAGCTGGACTTTGCAAAGAATGTGACATAAGAAGGAAGACTCATCAACAACCTGCTTTATGCAGATGACACCATGTTACTTGCTGAGAGTGAGGAGGACTTTAAACACTGAAGAGGATCAAGGACTTCATTATGAATTGCATCTCAACATCAAGAAGACAAAATTCTCACCACTGCACCAATAGGCACCATTATGATAGATGGAGAAAAGGTTGAAATTGTCAATGATTTTATATTTCTTGGGGTCACAATCAACACCTTTGGTACCAGCAGTCAGGACTGGGAGGTGTATTGCATGGGGAAATTCCACTGTCAAGGATCTCTCCAAATTACTGAGGGCAGTAATGTCAGTTTGAAGAATCAGATATGCGTGATTTACACCATGATCTTTTTTGATCACCTGCTAAGCATCTGAGAGCTGGATAATGAATAAGAATGGCAGAAGAAGAATTGGTACCTTTGAGTTGTGGTGTTAGAGAGAGAATATCCCATGGACTGCCAAAAAACCAAACAGATATATCTTGGAAAGAGTGTAGCCTCAGTGATCCTTGAAAGCAAGAATGGTGAAACTTGTCTCATATACTTTGAACATGTTAATCCTTGGAAAAAGATATCATGTTTGGAAAGATGGAGAGTCAGTTAAAGAGAGGATGACCATCTCTTTGCCAGGATTGACACAGTGACTGCGGCAATAGACATTAAATGTATTGGAAATTGTGACAATGGCACAGAATTGGATAAGGTTCTTATCTGTTGTTTATAGGGTCTCAATAAGTTGTATGCAACTTGACAACATCTAACTACAACAACAAATTCATTTATCCTTACATAATTTGTGCTATTTATGTTGTATCTAAAAATTGTAAGATTATGAGAATATTATAATGAAAGATCTATGGTTCCAGTTTTTAAGTTTAGATCTCAATTCATTGGCAGTTAATATTTATGTATTAAATGAGATAGGAGTTAAGTTTAATTTTTCCCTTGTAGAGGTACATAGTTGTTATAGAATATTTGTGAAAGACTTGTCCTCCAATGAATTAATGTGGTACCTTTGTCAAAATTCTATTTATGAACACTTTATTAGCAATATTTTGTCATTTTCATAGTAAATATCAAGGACATCTTTAAAATAATTAGGTTTTTATAGAGACTTTGGATTTCTATTTTTGCTTAGTATCTAAGTTAACCTTTTGCACCATCCCAGAATTCCAAAGTAATCTGCTTTATTAGATTAAGATATTAACTTTTAGTCTCTTTTTTCTATGTGCTATGAATCAAGAAAGGGTATTAACTTGTCAAATGCCTTTTTTCTGTCTATTGAGTCAATAATATGATTTTTGTCTTTTATTTTATGGGGATCACATCACTTAAAAACAAATGAAAGATCTGACTTGCAACCAGACTGATATGCTAATTTCTAGTCTTTCATAACAATTACGAAACACCTATTCCTGTTGTTGTTGTTATAGATTACCATCTGGTCGAGTATGACTCATAGGTAGCGGGCCTATGAACAAAAGGCCTGAAGGCTTTCTACAATTATCAGCATTTCTCCAAGTTCATAGACTTTCCAGAGGCATGTGGTTTAGGAAGTGAATGCCACTCTTGCTTCCAAACCAGTTTTAAACTGGGAGTTCCACCAAACACTGTCCACCAAAAGCACTGTTATGGCATTTGACCTCCCTCCCCCAACGGCACAAGGTAAAAAGCCTGAAGCCTTTCTATAACTATCGTCATTTCTCAAGTTCATAAGAGTTTCCAGAGGTATTTGGTTTAGGAAGTGGATTTCACTCCTGCTTCCTAAACTGAATCAGTCTGGGAACTCCACCAAACACTGCCCACGATGGGTAGCCATTATGGTGTTTGACAAATCTGTGGTACAGTTGTTCCATTATGGCATTTGAGACCCCAATGGCACAAGTGTCACAGCAAACTCAGATTACCTCAGCATTACCTATTATTTTACATTTTCCCCTAAACACGTGAAAATATCAATATAATACCCCTGCACCTCTGGAGTTCCTGAATGATACAAATGGTTAAGCATTAGTCTACGGATTTTCAGCAAATATTCTCTTGACCAATTTATACTGTTGGTATAACGTGGAAGGAGGGGAGGCAGGGATAAGAAGATACAAAGCAGTTTTTCTTCTCTTATTGTGCTATTTTCATTTTCTTGTCTTAAATAGTCAAAAATAATGAAACAGTGGGAACTCCGGAGTCAGTGCTCTCCCTAAGGAGTAATACTGCTAATACAATAGCCAGATCTGTTGGTTGGAATCCACGGGCACCTCCTGGAGAGAGTGAGCAACCACAGAGCAATTTACCACTTTGGAAACCAAGAGATTAGTTATAAGTCAGTTCTGATTCAGCAGTCAAACAAATGAGTGGGATGATCTTCAGAAATTTATTACGAGCTATTTATACTGTTCCAAGAAACCTCTGATTTTGTCATTTATAAAGAAATTAATCCTGAATCCTCAATGAAATTGAAACTATGGAAAACAAGTTGCCTGAGTAATCCAGATTGCTTTTTGGATTCATGTCACATGTCTGGTTTTTTAATCGCATCCTCTGTTTTATATATGTTGTTGTTGTTATGTGCCGTCAAGTCACTTGGGACTCACAGCGACTCTATGTACAACAGCCCTAAACTCTGCTCTGTCCTGTGCCAATCGTACCATCTCCAATACACCCATCCCAATTACCCCAGCATTGAATCAATCCACCTCATAGAGGGCCTTCCCAGTCTGCAGTGTCCCTACACCCTACCAAGCATGATGTTCTTCTCCAAGGACCTGTCCCTTCTTGCAACATGTCCAAAGTATGTTAGACAGAGCCTTAGAATCCTT